ACCACAGTATAAAACATGTGTTGACTCTACCCCAGTACAGTGATTTCTCAGTCTTTTCACTAATTATTCACTTTATTATACCATCTGTCAATTTGCCCATTACAGCTGTAAAAATCTTTGTTCCCTGTTTTTTTTCCCCCTCTCCATTAAAAAAAGTAGTGTCACATTTGCCACCATTCATTCTCCAGCTAGGAGCCCGTTTTGTAGAGCCCTGTGCTTAAGTATAGGGGTCTGATGGTGCTCAACTTATGCACAAACTGAGAAAGAACATATAAAAGGAACTTAGCATTAAAGCAAAGCACTACAGTGTTTACAATGTGCATGCCCACCTCCAGGAAAAAAACACAACAGAGTAAGTAAGTTAGGTGTTGGTGGGATCTTTCATATCGAATCCCTTTGGGATGCAACCTGGTAGAACAAATATTAAATGTAGCTTACAAAAAACCTGTTAAGATCCTCTTTAATGCTTTTTTAGGCCATGAGCCTAAGTAACTTAAGGTATTCATCTTCTGATTTTTGCGTATCTACTATTATACTATAATAATAATAAATGGCATTATATAGTAGAACTATTCTGAATATATGTTTTTATACATGTCCTATATATATATCTTTACTACAGACACAGAGAAATACTAAAAATTTGCTTTGCTTTTGAAAGCTTTTTAAATGACAAAAGGCAGTGAAAGGTATAAACTTTGATTAAGTGGACAAAAGCTGTGTCTACTTGAGGGACAATTCCTATCAGTTATACTACCATGACAAGTTTTACAAATGCTGGCCACCTTTTTGTCCTGAGGTCAAGGTAGCTGTAAGTAAAGGAAACCAATAGGATTACTTTATAATACTGCTTCTCTGAGTGAGTCTGGTAAAATTAAATGTCTTTTCTACTTAAGCATGACATTTGGTAATAATTTTAGTGCAATGGGAGCAAGAGCTAAATCTAAGAAAAGCAGCAAGGAGTAATTATGACTATCACTTTTCAATTTTATCTGTCAGTCATCTATAAGGAATTGCTATATTCACTGTTAAGTAGCCTGATAATTAGCTCAGTTTGATTTTGATCCACTTTAATTTCTTAGGGGTAATTGTTAATGATTTACATTTTACAGTATTAATGTCGTTGACATCTAAGCAAACTGATAGAGTAACATTAGCTCAGCAGTAACTTCTGCTGTGAGCCCTAAATACTTTAAATTTCTATTTACCATTGCTGCGTGAGCCCTTAGACTCCTTCAAGTAGCAGAAGGTCATTGCACAGTTAAATGGGGATAGAACTGATACCAAAAAAATCCTAATTATGACCCGTCCAGGCATTTTTCAACCAACTGGCATGGGAGAATGGTACTTGGTTGAGGATGACTATTGCGGGTGTCTTGCTAAGGTGCCACCTACTTCTTATACCGACAACTACCAACAAACAACAATGCAAGTACTTCTTTTTTTGACAGGTAACTTTATTAATAATGGTCTTGGATTTGTCACACCTATCAGGTGCCAGTCTTTTTTCACACTCTGCGAGACTTTCTGAAGGATAAACTAGAAAGACATAAAGTTAGTTGAAGCTACTAAGACACACATTGGAAGGTGGGTCTATTTTGGACTTTTTTTTTTCTTTTCTTTTTTTTTTTTTTAACAGAAGTTTCCATCAATGTGTGCCAAAAAGACTTAAATACATTGAGAAATACAGTAGAAAGACTATATTTACAGTCAATTATAATGGGCACTGCCAACATATCCAATAACAAAAATAAAACAAAAACTTTTTTCATGTTTCTTTCATGCGCTTTTTTTTTCCACAGAGATTTTTTTTTTTTTAAATATGATTTTGTTTTTTAAAAAATACAATAAGGAAATAATTACATTCTTACTATGAGAACATTATCTTACAACATACAGCCTGGGCCAATTAATTTGAAAGTATCCTTTTAAACAAAACTTGATACGAAATTAAGTATTCTTCATTTGAAAAATCAAATTGCCACAATCATCTCAATAAAAAAAACATATTTGACCCCCCCAAAGTTATGATTTGTTTTCTTTTAAAAAAAGCATCACCCATTAAAAAAACCCCAAACAATTTAAAAAAAGCACCTGGTACAGTAACAGGAGTTTGTTGAGGAAGCACAAGTGTAACATTTTCTTAAAAGACATATAAATGGTTTAAAATACAAGAGTTTTCCTTTAAAACAAAAGTCATGCTGCTCTGTTGATGACTTTGCCTGGTGATGGTGAAATCTCAAACTGATGAAAATAGAAACTCTGTTGCTTTCTATAAAAAACTGTGCAGCAACAGTGCTCTTCAAGAAAACAGAGTACATTTCACAGCACCAAATGTGTCTATAGAGAGGTTATTTATTTCCCAAGGTTCTTTGTTTTCCTCCTTTGAATTCTTTGGCTGTTACATAGAACAGACATGTCGCTAATGCAAATTGCAATGGTACCAGTGCACGCACTTGCACATTACAGACATACATACAATTACAGTACGTGCCAGGCTGGGGACTGTAGTGGCTTTATGGAGCCTTTGTTGGAGGAAGGGTGAAAGAAAGATGCTTAATTTTGCCTGCTGCAGCGGGTGCTATGGGTGCCAAGGGCACTATGGGTGCTGAGGGCAATCGGCATCTATGGCAGAGCAGAAGGCTCCAGCACCGGGGCTGGGGTTGTGAGCATGGCCCCACCACCACATGATTTTTGTTTGCACACTTCTCTCTCAGGCATGGATTAAAACCTACCCTTGCCAAGGACTTTTTTTTTTCCCATGGGATATAGGGGGTGGAAGATACGATAAGAATATTGGGTAAAGAAGACAAGTGATTTGGCTTTTGACTACTCTGCGTTACTTGATGCGGGACCACTTCTTAATGGCAACTGTTAAATCATTGCAAACGTTGACTAGAAGCCTAATTTGCATCATAAATATGTACAGATATAAATTAAATATTTATTGAAATATACAAATAAATAACTTAATTTGAAATAAAAAGCCTAAATGAACTTACTTTTGCTTCAAATTTGTTTCTACTAATATTTATGGGAACTTGATTACTGTTTAGTCCATAGTCATACAGCATAGAATGTGCCCTCCACTTATAGAGTTAGTAAGTAAGCAGATGACCTAAAATAACATAAAAAGATCCTGTTTTCAGTGAAAACCACACTGACACTTTGCTTCCCTAGTATATCTGCATTCCTGTGGCACTTTGTACAAAGCATAGTCCCAAGAGGCAAAAAGCCTTTCCTCATGTTGGGCCCCATTTCTACTCTGCTAATGTCAATGGGATCCCTGGTGCTAATTGCATTTGGGACCAGCGCACAGCCCTGTGTCCTAGCAGCTATCAGGTCTTTCTGATAGCTCTTTGCTTTCACATGCCACCAGCTCCTGCGGGAAGTCCTCTGGCATCCAGCTCAGCTGGGAATCCCAGTGTACCCTTCAGGAGTTACACACACCTATTCTTAAAGGTAAGAGAAACTGTAGGCTGGGCTGTAGATCCTTGATAACTGCTGCCTTGCCAACTTCTGTTGTTTTAATTGCAAGTCTTAACTAATGATCAAGACTCCAGCCCAAACAGCTGTGATTATCTCAAAATATGAGTAGTATTTTACGTTTTTAAATTAAAGTAATTTTCTAGTCCTCACAGTTGAGGAGGGAAAAATCTTGAGAATGCAATTGAAGGCTCTCCAAAGGCTTAAAAAAAACCCACAGAGGAAACATTAAAAGAACCCAACTCATTATATGTTTTTTCCCTCCCTCTCTCTCCTGGTTTTTAAAGCAAATCTTGAGATTTTGAAGGACTTTAGTTGGCAATTTACTGCATTTTAAGTTCTCAGGAGTGACATGGATGGAGACAAGAACAGATTTCTATCATTTTACAGACTAAAACTCAAGACACTGTTTCCTAGTAAACAGAAATGAACACCCATCTGAGAAAAATCCCCAATTACTTGTAAAATCATGTATAAAAAAGAGTCTGGAAATTACCATCTTTTCAGTCCATTTTCCTCAAAAATAATAGCTGAGGTCTGAAAAGACGATGGAAACTAAGTACAGCAGTGTTCTATAACTCAAGTTTAACAAAACAATACTATATTATAAAAAACAAAACAAGACTGACTGCATAAGCTATTCTGAGTTGCTATTATCTGTTGAGGATTAATTTCAATTACGCTTTCTCTTTTTCAAAAAGTATAGAAAAGAAACAGTATCTAAAAATACCTGTTTGCCTTTTAAAAAAATCAGGAACAAGTCAGAGTTCAACAACATGACCTTTGAAAATGACTGGTACTTCAGAATACTAATAAAGAGAACGTACTAAAATGCATGGTGGTTTTTATAAAGAATGGCAGCTTTTTATCTCCCAATGACAAAAGCATCCATAAAATGATTCACAGCTGAGTCGTGTCACCCCATGGTCTCGCACCAGCGTAGAGGACAGCGGCACTGAAGAGCTCCTGTCTTCCTGGCCAAGGAAGCTATGCCGTTTCTGTGAATACATTCTTCAGTTTCCTTCTACCACGCAAACAGCTAAGTGCAAAGAGACTGCCAATGAGCAAGACTTTGCTCAGCCACCTCTGTGGCAGACCTCAAAAGTTAGTTTTAACCTGTGAGAGTTATGATTTCACATCAGTCTTAATGCACTGGTCTTCAGTGGTGTTCAGTCAGCATCGCCGGTCAGTGCTGTTTTAACAAAGAGAACTTTCAACTGTGACTTCATGTTCCTTTTAAATTACTATGGTTGGTTTGGTTCTTTTGGTTTTCATTTTTTCTTTACCAGTGATGTTGGAAATAAAGAGTTACAGCTAATAAAAAGGGCACACATAGTTACACAGCAATACAGTAGAGGGAATACAGGCAAATTAGCGCCAAGCTACCATCAACTTAATTATAAAACCTCGTATGTTGTATCACTTGATACAACCTTTCAGATGAGTCTTTTGCAGCCTATGTCTTGGTCCATAATAGGTAAGGCCTTTATGGGAAGTGAGTGGTTTTGCTATGTTTATGTTCCATTTTTCATCTCCCATTCCTGGAAAGGCGGGGGGGAAAAGATAAGGAAAATGTTAGAGAAATAAGCATATTTTATTGATGTCATCACATCTGCTAAGCCAAAGCCGGCTGAGGTCAGTAACGGTTTTTCCATTGACTTTGCTGGACCCAGCCTTCTGCCCACAAATTAGTTAGGGAATGCTAACAAGTATGTCCCATAGTGTCTGCGCGAAGCTTCCACCCCTCTGCAGCTATATTCAGCAACTTTTTTCTAGTGCAGTGCAAGTAAGTTGTGTTTGTTTTCTGCAAAGGGTGCTTATGGAGCAAATTCGCACACCGCAGTTGATGTGAAGCACTCAGCTGGAGCTGGATAAGGGAGGGGCTGATTTTGCATCTAGGACTTTCTAACTTACTTGCATGAGGCAGCAGGAAGCACTCAATTTAGTGGTAAATGCTCCATCCCTGGTAATGTTCAAGGCCAGGTTGGACAGACCCATCGTCTAGTGTGAGGCATCCCTGCCCATGGGAGGGGGGTTGGAACTAGATGATCTTAAGGTCCTTTCCAACCTAAACCATTCTATGATTCTATGGTATCTCTCACAGCTAACAACAAGTGATTGCTTTACTACTCTTCAATTTTTTATTATTAAATTCATGACAGACACGTTTCTGTGGCTAAAAAGGGCAACTTACTGAGTCAGAGAGACTTACAGACAGGGTAAAGAAAAAAGGCATTAGTTTACATTGCATTTGTTTCCTATATACATAATCTAAGTTGAGCTATTGCTTGTCAAGTTAAAGAAAGACATCACTTTGCCTTTCTGTGCCTCGGTTTCCCCACCTCTTAGCTGAGGACAATGACACCTACCATCCACAGCAAAGCACATAATCTATAATGGTTTCATCCATGGCTCATCCATGTATTGCCATTTCTTCTGTTTCACAAATGAAAATTATAAGATTGCTATATATAGCTAAACACCCACTTAAATCAAACTTGAGTGATACCTAAAGTATTTCCTAACAGTATTTAGGAGCTGAAGCAGGATGGGCTCAGCTTAAGACATCCATACTGTACCTACACCTTGGATCACACACTGCCATCAGGAACTAATGAAGATACAACGGAGTTGGCCTCCAGATGAAGTAATCTCCATGGACCAACCGCCCAGCTGCTCCTAGCCAGGCACTGGGGTCCACAGATTCCCACCCAGCTACTCTGCAGGCAGCCTGCTGACTTGGCTCCCAACCTGAATTCCAGATTTTAACACTCATTCCACAGCATTTAAGAGCTCTGACTGAAAACCATTACTTATGCATGTAAATATCTGTTTCGGCTGTTGAAAGCCGTAACAGCATTAGTTTGGCTCAACAGCTGCATAACCATGACACCTCGTCAACCATTGTAAAGCAGCAGTAAAGGTCACAGTTTACTGTGGCTGCTTTAGCAATAGAAGAAAAAAATAGCTTGGGTTTAAGCAGGTAGACAATAATTTATTTAATTTTTAGTCTTGTGGGTTGGTTTTGTTGGTCTTTTTTTTTCCCTTCATTTAAATAGTGCTTTTATGAAATTACAGTATATTTAACATATTCCATTTTACATTTCAAATTATGGTAAAGCTAAACTTCTTAAAACACACTGCTGGTAAAAACTAGATTGCTTTAAAAAGGCTATTAATGTATATTCCCTATGTACACACTACCAAAGCTCTAAAGGAAGTCCTTGGCTAAGCAACTGGGAGGAGAATTTTCTAAAGTGTTAAGTAAGACTTGAAAGCACTAGCCTCTTTTGCAGGTGCAGGAGGAACTTTTTCTTTGTTTCCATTTCTCCAGCAGGTTCATGCCAATAAAAGAATGTTTAAGTCAACACTGGGAGCCTGACTGGGAGCTGGGAAACTGGAAGAGCTCCTTTTCCAGTCCCTGAACATAAGCAAAGTGTAAGCTGCTGACATTCACCAGTCTACCAGTTTTGAAAACAAACCAGAAATAATCATTGCAGTTTCCTTGCTACACATAACAATTTGGGCTTAGTAATTCATTTGAAATGTGAAATGTTTAAATAATTGTTTTTCTAGTGCAGCAAGGATATTTAGACCAGTTTACTTCTCTAGGAATGCTAATGCATAATACAGTTTTCCACATTTTAATACAGTCTCTATTTCTAGCCAAGTAGAGATTAACAAAATTGCAATTAAAATGCCATCTGACTTCTTAAAAATGCATTATTACTTTCTAAAAAAAGAAAAAAATAAAAGCATGTTACAAACAGAAAAGTTAAAAAACCCAAAAATCTGTATGCGTATATTTGTATATGTACAGTGTATGTCCTAAAAATGTCCACTTGCTTCTGTTTTGTTCTCATGTCAGTGCATTGGAGAGGAGAGAGACTTCGGTTGAGCAAGCTCCCTAACTTGCTGTCTCAGGTGCTTCTGCCCTAGCAGAGAGCGGTGCAGTGTTGTGGGCCCATTAGCACGGTGACAATGTGAGGGTGGCTGCAGACACAAGGCTGGCTGGTGACAGACTCAGCACCTTCGTGCAAGGAAAGAGCAAGAAGGGAGGCACTCGGTGCATTCAAATCCATACTGGGGAAAAGAAAATCTGACATTTTGAACGTTTATACAACTCCCTCATAACACTGGGAGATTTGCCAGTTGCTGAAGATGCAAGCGCAAGCACAGACATGAAATCTGTTTCACTCCCACATATTGCACTGACATCCATGCGTGGAGAGCCAAGTTCTGCTCTGGGATACTCACGTGTGACGCCCTTTCCTTAGCCACATCTATAAAGCCTGGCTCACTCGCAACTGCAAAAGGCCAAAAGAATTGAGAGCCAAATTCCACCCTCGCATATGCACAGTTACCTCCCCCCCGGTAGTGGGGTGTGCTGCAGATGCATACCTGATGGCAGACTTTGGCTGCGGCTCCTTGCAAATGGGCTGAGTACAGCTTGTGTTGCACTATCTAATTCAGCAAGATTTCACTCAATATTTAGTGCATGAGGTTTTAGGAAAAAGCTGTTAAAGCTAAATTGGATACTTTGAGTTGTTTTTCCCAGGATGGGAATTATGCTTAGTAGCTCCATATCCTTTTTAATTATCCTAATCTCGTACCCAAGATTCCTCTACAAAAGAGCTTGACCAAACTATCACGGCATCCAAAGCACAGCAATATCAAACAGCACAGCAGGGTTTTTCCTGTATGGTATATACTGAGCATAAAAAATGTACTACAGCTGGAAAGTATACTTTACACCAAAAATGTTTTGGTTTTTATAGTGCCCTGGTTTCTCCAGCTGTACAGATTAAATGGTTGGCTTTAATGTGCCTGTCCAGTGTGCAACACAAATCCACATTCCATTTTGTAAGAATTGTGCTCTGCTGGACCACGTTCCCTGAGTAACATGGTGCTACCTTGCAAATGTAAGACAAAGTGTACAGTTAGAGATGATATCTTTATGAGACAAATTAGGTTATAATTGGAATAAGCTTTAGAGCACATGAATCCTTCTTCAGGTTTGAAAACCAAGCAGCAAACTTCCAAGTTAAATAGAACTGAAACCTATTACGTTGAGTGTAACTATTCTTAGTTGAATTTAAATGAATCTGGCTAACTGGCAGAAAAAGCAGGTGATGCCCATGAAAAGGATGGAGGAAGGTCTCACATAAGGTATATCAGGAGAAGTAATTCATGGCCTGGGCAATGTAAAGAGGTTAAACAGGCTGATGGGAGAGGAAATGGAGACATTAGGATGTGCCAGAAAACCAAATCATTTGTTCAGATGATGTTTTTTCATTATCTGCTACATTTAGCTGCCCTCTCTCCATAAGCAAATGAAATTTTTTAAGGAAGCAAGAAGAAGGACAGAAAAAGAAAATCAGACATAAGTGTTCTCACCTTTGCTTTTCGAAGGACATGGCCTCGACACGGAGAATTATTTGAGGAGGGAGGGCGCTTTAGAGCTGCTGCACTGTTCACAGGTATTGAGCATTCAGTATCACTGGTATCACAACTGGAGATGGGGGAGTTTTCCAAAGTTCGGTGCTTGAAAATTGGAGACTAATGAAGAGTGAAAAGCCTACAGTGAGTTTCCTCCAAGTAGTCACATGGGCAATATTTTCAATCTATGCTTAGAACTGCAGGATGTTTTTAAAAGATACCATATTCATAATAATGATGGATAAATGAAAAAGATGTTAGTACAAAAGAAAATAAAACAAAGTGTGTGTTTTGTGATGAAAATTAAAGTGTTTTCTGTGATTAAACGACATTGGGTTATCTGGAGGAATTGACACATTCCTCTCTGATCCTGCTGCGTCTGACACAGATCTATGGCTTATGAAGCCAGGACTGCCATGCTCCATTGTGAATGTGTGAGATGCAGCCCTTGCAAAGGGTGACAATGATCAACAGCACAAGTGGTTTCCATCACTGCACGATGACTTGGTGCATTTAAATCTCACTGGGCTGGAGCAATGTCTCTGTTCATGCACTTTTACAATCTCTGAGGACAATGAGGTGTCAGCTTTTGCACGTTATGCTAACACACACTGGGTGTGATTCCCATGTCTGTCCGCTCTGTCTGTTGCTGTAGAAAGTACACCAGATTTAGGTAAAGAATGCAAATAACACAGAAAGGCATTTAGTTAGTTCTGTTCTTATTTCCTGGGCTTAACAAACCTTTCAAAAACACTCAGTTCCCACTTATTTCACTGGAGCTGAGAAGACAGAGTACTCCCAGACCATGGCACTGGGATTTGCACTTTTAATGCCTTTACATACCTGTGGGCTTGATGTTCCCGACTTGGGCTCAATAGCCAAGCCCAGTGTGATGCCACCAGCCAAGGCTTTCTTAAGGCTCTCCTTCACCTCAGTCAGTTCTAGCTCCAGGTTTACACGTTCAGCCTCCTTCTGTTTACACTCCTCTTCCAACTTCTTCAACTTGTCTTCAAGAATCACTTGGGTCTTCCTGCCTGTCACCCACAGAAATGTTATTATTTCAATAAGAAGCTCAAATTGACAATTACAGAAATTATTTTCTTTTAAAAACATAAGGAACATCAGAGACATCACAAAAAATATATATACTTTGGAAGAAACACTTTCTTCATGTAAAACTTTTAGCAACTGAAATAAGATACTGTCTTTCAGGTGCCTTAGCTAGATTTATAGTCTTGTTTCAAACTGGTATTTGTTCTGTTATTTTTCCATGTCATGAAAATATAGTTAACCAGTCACAGTAAAATTATTCCCATGTTCTGCTTGTCTGAAATCCACATCAGTGTTGTGTATATATATATACATAAGTGTGTGTGTATATATATACACACACATATAAAAAAATATGTATATAAAATAGGTATATACATCTATAGTTATATAGTATAAATACATACCTACACATTATATATTTATATAATATTTACATTACATTTAGAAAGCAAATATAGACATCACAGAGTATTGTTTAACATCAAAACCAAACCCTGTAGTGGCTTGTCTTCAGCACAGAATGCAAAGCTATTTGGATCATTAAGCCTACCCAGGGCAGAATTGAGCACAAAATAGACCCTCGTACCAGCATTGACTTCAATGGCAGCACGTAGATCTTTTCTTTCTTTTCGGAGCTGGGCCAGCCTGTTCCGGAGTGCCTCTTTCCTCTTTAGCAGCTCCTCCTCTTTGCTTTGTAACCTCTTCGCATCTGCCTCCACACGATTCTTGCCATATTTGTACTGCTCCGCATCTGTATGTATTGGATTGTAGTTATTTATAGTCCAAATTAACAGAAAAACTCTAAACTATTCCCTGAGACTGAACACCACACAAAGCATGTCATGGTTCGAGAAGCCAGTTTGCCATCCCTATTCCACTGGCTTTTTTTCAAGGGCCATGATTCCTG